TTGTGTGTGTGTGTGTGTGTGTGTGTGTGTGTGTGTGTGTGTGTGTGTGTGTGTGTGAGAGTTTCTGTCTACGCGCGTGAGAAGAAATCGATGTGTGTGTACTGTAATATCAAGTGTTAAAAATTGATGATAAAGTAGGAGAGGGATATCCATATCCGTATATAAACGCTAGATTGATTCCATATGTCGCTGTGTTGAACAAGAAAGAAGACAATATGTGGAGAAAGAATAACCGTATGACGAAATACTGCAGAAAGGCCGAAAGTGTCCGAAAGAATATGATGCGACCGAGTACATCTCAAAAGCCAGATTAATATGATCCGCGTCTGTATTTCTCTATAGATTTTATTCGAATGCATAAAATGGTCAACACCTAAGGTGGTTCAATAGTCGTTGCTGGAACTACCGACCGATATAAACAAAATAGTGGAACCGGAGCGATTGCTTACTGATTTCAAAATGCACATATTTGTGTAGTGTTTCGCATTAAAGGGGTGAGGTTCTATTTTTTACTTTAGACTTTAGCGTTATACCTGAGGCAGTGAGGTTCAAGGCTATGCCCGCGTGTTAATTTATACATGCGGGCTTTCTCTTCTTCAAAATCAGTAGGAGGCCTCACGCCTGTTTATTATAGTTGTTCCCTCTCGTTCCTTTATTGGTCAAAAATCAGGTAATCGGGCCAAGTTTGGTTGGAAACCAAATAGAAAAGCCTCGATTGGTTGGCGACACTCCCGGCTTGCGGTTGGACACACAATGAAGAGATCGTTAAAAAACGGTCCCCGGCTCTCACGTGCCGATCAATAAAGTTTCCATTGAGAAAACAACAGAGCAAACAAGCTTACGAACCTTGTACGTGACGATATTGTAGACACTCGCTACGAGAATCCATTACCCGCAGTACTTCTATACTCTATGACGCAATAGTTATACAATCTATGGCTTCTATATATGCTTATGCACAGTGATTATACTCTATAGCGTTCCCCGCGAAATTATCCCACGTGCGTATACGACTATGTTCGCATATTAATAACAATTCGAGCATTTCTATACCGCGCACCGCGTCTATTTGAATACCAGATACGTTACCGTATCACCCATGCATCCATCCATTCACCGCGGCAGCATAGTATCGCATCCTTTCGCGCGGACGCGAAATCGATAAGGCTCGCCACTATTTAATGCAAACGTGTTTCTATGCCCGGGATTATCTTGCCGCGGAAAAGGAACACATTATAAGGCACAGTAGCATATTCGCATAATACGTATATATATCAGAAGCAGATAATAGGCAATAGGAGATAGGGGATTCCCTATTATCTACTTCTGATATATATATACCGGGCTCTGTGAATCAATGGCGTCGCCGATAACTGATATAATTCGATGGTGGGTTTAGTTAGGTTTGTTACAGGCAGCACGCGTTTGTCAACAATAGGGGGCAAGAATCTTTTATCGTTTCAACCGGCGCGATTTGAATTTATGCTCATAATCCGGTAATGAAATAGATACGGACGCGGTCAGTCGTGTCTAAGCTATCCGATTCCAAATTACTAGAGCTTGCTGCGAGCATCTAGGTGGGTTACGAGGGCGGTTATTGAATCGATGTGTTATCATGCGGATAATGTTGTATAGGCTCACTTGTCTGTATTGGCATCAATACCGATTACTTTCATAATCTTCTTTCTCGTTCTTTCGTAAAATCCTTTTTGGCCATGGTCGCACGGGTAATCGTGATAGTTGGTGGCGGTGGTGGTGATGATGGTGATGGTGGTGGTGGTGATGGTGGTGGTTGAGTTGGTGGTGGTGATGGTGGTGATGATGATGATAATGGTGATGTTGGTGGTGATGGTGATGATGATGGCGGCGGTGATGATAATGATGATGATGATGATGATGATGATGATGATGGTGATGATGATGATGATGATGATGATGATGATGGTGATGGTGGTGGTAGTGATGATGATGGTGATGTTGGTGGTTATATTGGTGGTGATGGTGATGATGATGGCGGCGGTGATGATAATGATGATGATGATGATGATGATGATGGTGATGGTGGTGGTGATGATGGCGGCGATGGTGGTGATGATGATGGCGGCGGTGGTGGTGATGATGATGGCGGCGGTGGTAGTGATGATGATGGCGGCGGTGGTGGTGATGATGATGATGGTGGTGGTGGCGTCATAATACTAATCGTATATTATTTTTAATCAAACCATATTCTCGGATTTAGATTCTGTTTGAAATCGAGCGCGCGCCTTATATGGCTGGGCTACCTGGGTTAATACCTGGGATAATACCACAGACGTGTATTATTGCGATTGAAGCATTACACAAACTGAGTGCATCAGCTTTTGCTGCTTTTAACTTTGACCGTGGAAGCATACCGAAACCAAAAGATGACTTACAGGAGACAAACACAATCAATACACAAGGAAAACAGTACTATAACCAACTATATTTCAGCTAACTCAATTGTTGCCTCACCCATGTACGCTCTCCATCCTCTCCCCATAATTACAACAAGAGTCTGAGCACTATACAGTACACACCACAGTCTATGACAAGCGTGCTTAAGTGCAATCTTATCTGCCATGTATTATAACTGCTGACTCGACACGCAGCTTACCTGCTCAGCTCGTTCTAAGCAGGTGGGAGAGAGGTAATGACAGATAGCCTACGCACGGATGTGCTATAGAGACGAGAAGATCATTCAGACATTCATTTTGCGCTTGCACATGACACAGGTCTACGCTAGCCCTAGTGCAGTAAGCACACTAGGCGGAATAGGGCCCGTGTGTTTCTTAATGCTATCTGATTGTGTTACTTATGTTTCTTTTTGCGTTTTTTATTGTGTCCTATTGTGTTCCTTATTTATTCAACTGTCTTCTCTATGTGTGACTGTCCTATTGTGCTTTTATTCTATTCTATTGAGTTCTTTGTGTATCTTATTGTTTTTTCTTATTGTAGCATATTGGATTCTTTTATGTATCGTATTGTGTTTTTCATTAGATTTTTAGAGTATTTATTATATTTCTGTAAAATACACGCGTTTATTAACTTGATCTTGAATTTAAATTGTTTCTCACGCTGTCTAGCATACATGTAAGTACTGTATCGGCATAGTGCGCTTATATAGAGTCGAGATGAACATGTCATATGCATGTGCATGTGCATGTGCATGTGCATGTGTGTGGTGTGTGTCGTGATGGATTATGCGCGCCACTTCTCCCTACACGTACACTGTATCGATTCTAACACTCACGCGAGATATCTAAGTCACCTGGTACTATAATCCGTCTGATGAATACAAACAAGCGGATACAAAGAGGCGAGAACACTCGAATATGTATAAAAAGGAAGATAGTTTGTATGTGTATCGTATAGCCGTTTATTGACTCAAACATAATACAACCGCTAGAGTGGCTTTCGATTCGGGGCCGTCTGACATTTTGTTATTTCTGACAACGAATAAAAACATGAACGATCGACCGAGTTGTAATTAGAGCTAGGACTCGTGCGCACGACAATGCACACATGCGTCTCTAGATACCACAAGTCAGTTTCTGCGTAAGCGAATCAGCCGAGATTTACTCTGGTTAGTGACAGACGTTATGCTAATGAGGCAATACTTTTGGCGGCATATACGTTCCGACTTTCATCAGGGAAGATGCCAACGTCATTAGCATAATTTACTACGCGCTCAATAAATTACTAATTACTAATTAATCCTATTTACGAAACAATACGGTCGAATCTACGCAATTACTAGCCGCACCGTGTGTCTTCTAGTGCTAGTGAGATGTGTACATGTATTTCGAAACCGATCGGACCGCATTAAGCGCTACCGTCAGGGTTGTTCACCCACGGGTAGACGGGAGGGCAGCGACCGCAGGTCTGGAAGTACCTATCGCCTGGATGTTCCTCGCTGTTGGGCGCGTAGGTGATGTTAGCGTATCCGCAAAGGTTCGGCGCTTCGCAAAGTGGACGACGGTCGGCGTAATCGCAAGCGAACACGCGAGATCGCGCGATATCGGCGAGTCGGACGGGGTTGCGAACCCAGGCGATTGCCTGGCTGTAGGTGACGAGGTATACGTCAGGATTCTGCTGAATCTCGTCCAGGAATTGCTGCAGCGCTTCCATGTTGTAGTAGCCGTCGTTCAGGAACCACCTGCAGGCAGAAGAAGCGACATCTGTTCAGCAGATGTGACACTAGCGCGCGTATACGACGGATACTTATCTCTCCCTCTCTCTCGCTCTCCATCTCTCTCTCTCCCTCTCTCTCCCTCTCTCTTTCTTTCTCTCTCTCTCTCTCTGTATATATATATAACGCGGGCTATTGTGGCAGCATTGCTCTTTAAAAGCGCGCGCAGAACCGCTCGCATGTACAATAGTGATATACTCGGTATGAGTCTTTTTGATTCACGCATCCTCGCGCCAGAATGCCTCTATGCCACACCGCACACATAAATCCAATTGATTTCTGCTAAAATGCTAGAACGTTTTTCAAAACGCACCTTTGCGTACGCACGCACGCAGGCGTGCACTCACAAAGAAACACGCACACACACACGCACGCACGCACGCACGCAGGCACGCGCGCACTCACAAACACCCACGCGCATGTATAGGCACTCGTGCATTCACGCAAGCTATATTCAGTGTTCTTCATGCTGCGATGCAGCGCGATCATGCGTCCTGCACTATACGCCCGTCTCCTTGTAGTTTGACGCACTCAGATACAGTTCTTCTAAGCGTCGCTGCGTATACAGATAAATACGTTCATGCATGCATACGCAGTTAGTAGTAAGGGCCGCAGGAATCTTATATATATGTATATGTGAGCATATTTAAATGTGTGTCTGTCTCATCGCGTGGTGCATGCATGTGTGCGAGTGCGCGTGCGTGCGCGCGCGCGCGCGTGTGTGTGCATGCGTGTGTGCGTGTGCGCGTCTGTGTGTGTGTGTGTGTGTGTGTGTGTGCGTGCGTGCGTGCGTGCATGCGCGCGCGTGTGTGCGTGCATGCGCGCGCATGTGTGCGTGTGTTTGCCTGCTTGGCCAGATGCATAACTATATTCAGCCCAATCGCTATGCTCGCCGCTAGATAGTCTGTAAGAACGAGCGAAGAGTGGATGAAAATTATAATGAAATGCGCGAACTACTGACTGACACTACGTCGTACCTGGCTCTCAGGTTGAGTGTGAACGGAGCGCGATTCGTCTCGTAGTGACGAGCGAAGTTAGTACGCAGCAGCTCCAGAGCCTCCGCCTTGTCGTTAGGGAAGTAACAACTATCCACGTTCTCACACAGAGTGTCGTTAGTGTCAATCCAGTCCACCAGGGGGATCTCCCACATGCCAGGCACGGGCTCGGTGACGCACGGCCGCACAGCGCAACCCGTAGTATCGAGGTAATCGAACGTGTAGGGCCAGGTAGCCGGGTTGATGCGGTCGGTCGCGTAGGACGAATCCCAGGTGAATTCGTCGTTCTGCATCCTCCGCATGAAGTCGTTACCTTTAGTCTGCAGGTAGGCGGCGCGCACGCCTGTTATCTCGTTCGGAGGAATGCCGGAGAAGATATCGAACATGACGCGCTGGTCGCGGTACTCAGCCGACATCTCTCTGTCCGACATCTCAGCCCAGTATTCCGCCGGAAGTCGCTTCCTGAAACGGGAACAGTGACGCGTGGTTAATTCTCATGCGCTTCCGGTTTATAAGATGTTCGCAGAAGATGCATAAAAATGAGCGTAATTGTATGCAGCAGTAAGAATCTTACACGGATTACACGATATTACGCGTAATTTACACGAAAAATCTTCGATACGTTGCCGTTATACGTTATTAATAAATGGATGTGGACGTTCGGAGTAATGAGAGTAATTATATATAGATTTACGGGATGGTTTTCGATTTCCCTACGCAGAATAATTAGTAACCTGCACGCATCAGCCAGACTGCCTAATTGTTCGCTTATATTGGGGCATCGCCAAATTACTGACGATGCTATTCTAATTTCCCCTTTGCTTATTTGTTTTCGCTCATTAGATCACTGAAATTAATTGGTTAGGTTTACGGTATCGTGCGCAATTAGGTGCAAGTAATCACGCATCCTATTGATTTACCCACGCGTCAAAGTCACAGCTGAGGTCGTGCCAGAATACTGTTCTGATACGACATAGAAATTCTATCACGTTAGTTTACCAAACCGCCACGCCGTATGCACACAACACTAAACCTTCCAGTTTAATATCTCCCAGAGATATCACGCGCTCATTGCAAATACGAGGAGAGTGACTCGAGAGAAAGATTCGAGATTTCATTTCACGTTTCATTGCAGCTATTTACTTGTAAATTCTGGACGTCATGACACAAAGCTATGAGTTTAATACTGAAAGAATCTAAGTTTAGTTCTATCTCGACACCTAATCGAATTTCGAGAGGCAGCGCATCAATCTTCTCATCACAATTTCACTCTTACTCTACGATTGATCCGAACGACGGTCTCTTTGCTTCTTAAAATACTACTGTTCTTTAACGAATACATCCTCACGATGTTTTCCAGCATGGAAACCCCCTATCATTTTATCAGCACAGAAACCCCCTATCATTTCATCTGCAGGGAAACCCCCTATCATTTTATCAGCACAGAAACCCCCTATCATTTCATCTGCATGGAAACCCGCTTCAATCGATAGTGAAATAATCACGTCGCGGGACGATCACGGATTGAACCTCATGATCATATTTCTCTCTTAGCGAACCCGATCTGTCCTTGCCAGAGCGCAATTATGTGGGATGAATAGAAGCATCGTATACATCCACTGTAAATCCTAGGGCAGACCTGCGATTTTTGGTTGCTCGTCGCTGCAACCTGCAACCTCACCGCGTGTGCGCATGCAAGCGACTGCTGTTGTCTTTCCACGATTTGTTTTGTTCAATGTTTTAGGAGTTTACATGACACTAGTTAAAGTCTCAAATTACATAGGGCCAAATCAGTTTGATTTCTTGCAACTCGTTGCAAGCGACCAGAATCGCTACGGGTTGCAGTTGCACGTTCCCGCAGACGTAGCGATTTCACAGCAATTTCGACGGCGATTCTAGAATCGCTGCCGAGTTGCATGAAAAAGTCGCAAGTCTGCGCTAGGCTTAAGCGACCTACGAGATGGAGTGAGCAGCAAACTCATTGCCCTCGGCGTACAGACTCTGTACGGCAGCGTAGTCCGTGAACTGATGGCTGGTGAAAAAGGTGGCGACGGCTGGACATCCGTCAGGGTTCTTTCTCGGCACTCTCCTTCTGTCCCGACCGACCTTCTTCAGAATCTAGTGAAAACGGACAACAACGATATATATATATACATGTTTACGTCAACATCTACATCTACACACATATATCTATATCTGTGCCTACCTATTTTACTTACACACACGCACGCACGCACGCACGCACGCATAAGTGTCTACTACACAACTTCTGTAATGAGATTATGTTAGCGACAGACGGAGTAATATAATTATGTAAGACATCTGCGCATGTAAACCCATCTCGAAGTCGCTATAGATTATAGCGAGAACATCCCCGTCTTATGACCGCCGAAGAAACCTTATACGTCACGATGTTGCTGACGTCATTGAACGCTAGCCGTTCCCAGGCCCGAATCCGTGTGAAAACGCATAAATGGCAGGAGCGAAACAGTCTTTAGATGTCTCTGATCGAAAATTGACGACGAGCGGAGCGGTATTCTATCACCGCAAACATCAACTTACGAATAATTCCCGCAAAATATGAAAATAATACCGCGAGACCCTTTACGACGAGCATAGTCGCACAAGCCATCTGTCCTCTGTCTCTATACTCTCGAGCGACGAAAGCGACATCGCCTTACCTGGACGTCTCCTCTAATCCGATTTATCATTCTCGAGAGCTATCCCCTTAGCCAATAATTATGCCGAGGCATCCCCTTAGCACGTCTCTACAATCGGCTTAAGCGCGAGGCGGCAGCAGCAGCAGCAGCAGCAGCAGCAGCAGCAGCAGCAGCAGCAGCATTAGTAGCAGCAGCATCAGCAGCAGCAGTAGCAGCAGTAGCAGTGTCAGCAGTAGCAGCAGCAGCAGCAGCAGCAGCAGTATCAGCAGCAGCACCAGCAGCAGCAGCAGCAGCAGCAGCAGCAGCAGCAGCAGCAGCAGCAGAAGCAGCAGTAGCAGCAGCAGCACCAGCAGCAGCATCATCAGTAGCAGCAGCAGCAGTAGCAGTAGCAGTAGCAGCATCAGTAGTAGTAGCAGCAGCAGCAGCAGAAGCAGCAGTAGCAGCAGCAGCACCAGCAGCAGCATCATCAGT